CCGGGGTTCCGTCCTCCCGACACGTCCAGGCTCCCGGATCCGGTGCCCCGGCCGCTCCGGGTCGCGGGGCGGCTTCTTAATCCACAGCTTCAGGGCAGTGAGCGCAGCTGGGCCTGTCCCGCTGCCTCGACGGCCGAGGTCGGGTCCTGCACCGCCCGCCCTCTCCGTGTCAGTGCGAGGATGGGTAGGGAGGTTTAGCACTCTCGGGCTGCTGGCCTGCCTGCGGTTCCTCTCAGTCTTTGCAGGGTGGCTAGAGGAACCGATAGGCAAGGGCTGAGTACTCTGGGTTCCTTCAGATATTCAGTTCTCCACTTCTAGAGGCCACGCGACCTAGCGTGGAGTAGCACTCAAGGGTAGTTACAATGTTGGTGACAAGCCGATTCACAAATCTTACCTTCTCTTCTGTTTAATAATGAACCTGTTGAGGTGCTGCAAGAGCCCAACCCTAGTCTCACCTGCTAGCTATGCCCAGCAGGACCTGACACACCCATCAGTCCAGGCTCCAGATCCTGGAGGCTTCAAGCTCCCCAAGTGTCAGAGCCAGGCCATGCAGTCTTGAAACTCAACCTGATTTTATCCCTTAGAGAACCTGGACTAATGTTGCAAGATTATAAGGGTTCCTTGACTCCCCAGTTTATAGGTCCAAGACTATATGGCCCTTTCTCACCATGTAGCCCAGGTTGGTCTTGAACCTTGGCAGTTCTCCTGCCTCTACCCCGAAAGTGCTGGGGTCACAGGCGTTCACCCCACCTTCTCTTTTATTATTTTCCCTTGTTATGGTGTTTGGGGTAGAAACTAGGTCTTCATACATGTCAAACATGTACTCTACCCCTGAACTATACTAGGCTATGGCTTCTTCATGACATTTGCTACACTGGTTTGCAATAATCACCCTGCTGGATTGTGAACCCTGAGGGCAGACGTTTTCTGCCCCCTGGGGTGACCCAAGTCAGGAGAGGTGGGGAGGACAATGCCCAGGTCTGGGCTATAGAGAAGGGTGCTTTTCCCACAGCCTCAGTTCTGATGCCTGGTACATAGCAGGAGCTCAAAAAAGTGTGGGTGGATGGACAAGATGACTTAAGGCACCAGGCATTGGTGGCGCACGCCTTTAATCCCAGCACTCGGGAGGCAGAGGCAGGTGGATCTCTGTGAGTTCGAGGCCAGCCTGGCCTCCAGAGCGAGTGCCAGGATAGGCTCCAAAGCTACACAGAGAAACCCTGTCTCAAACAAAACAAAACAACAACAAAAAGGATGGCTTAAGGTTCAAGGGGCTTGTTGTCAAACCTAAAGACCTAAGTTTGATCCCTGGTGGAACTCATTCTCACAAGTACTCTGTGGTGTATATGCGTACCCCACCCTCCCAAATAAAGGAATATAAAATATGGTGGTACAGGCCATTAATTCCAGCACTCAGGAAGCAGAGAGGCAGGTAGATCTCTGTGAGTTTGAAGCCAGCCTCCTCTTCATAGAGTTTCAGACTAGCCAGAGCTACACAGACCCTGCCTCAAAAATCATACTAATAAAAATAAATCTTTTTAAATTTGTTTTAGAAACAGTCTTATTTTATATATCAATCCCAGTTCCCTCTCCCTCCCATTCTCCTATGCCCCCACCAGCCCCCCATCCCACCCCCCAATAAAAATAAATCTTAAGAAGACTGTCGGGGCTGGAGAGATGGCTCAGAGGTTAAAAGCAGTGACTGCTCTTCCAGAGGTCCTGAGTTCAATTCCCAGCAACCACATGGTGGTTCACAACCATCCGTTATGAGATCTGGTGCCCTCTTCTGACATGCAGATATACATGGAAGCAGAATGTTGTATACATAATAAATAAATAAATAAATAAAATCTCAAAAAAAACTGTAAATTACCTCCCTGAGTCCGTCCCCCTGCCCCCTACACACTGGAGATGAAATCTAAGGCCTCATTTATAAACAGATCTGTGCAGTATTAACTCAGCACTCACTGCAATTTCATGACCATGGTCACCAGCAGGAAGCCCTGCCCACCCATCTGAGAGCTGTTCGGTACTGGCCAGGTGCTCAGAGAGGCTTGCTTCTGAGTGTGGGGCACTGGGGAAGGAGTGCAGTGAGCTTTTAGCACTCAGGTGCATGTGCCAGGCCAGTTCAGTGCCTGTGGACTTCAGCCACCCCAGCAGGCACCCAGTCCACTCTGGGAAGTAAGAGCTCTACACGTTAATTAAGAAGTATCTGTGAGCCGGGCGTTGGTGGTGCACGCCTTTAATCCCAGCACTCGGGAGGCAGAGACAGGAGATCTCTGTGAATTTGAGACCAACCTGGTCTACAAGAGCTAGTTCCAGGACAGCCTCCAAAGCCACAGGGAAACTCTTTCTCGAAAAACCAAAAAAAAAAAAAAAAAGAAGTATCTGTGAGGAGAGGTGCTTCGAGGAGTTGGCTCTCACCTGCCGCTCTGAAGCAGGTCTCTTGCTTCTGTTGCTGTGATGAATACTCCAGGCTGGTGTTCCCAAGCTTTGGGACCATTCTGCTGTCTCTACCTCAGTCTCGCCATAGAAGTGCTGGAGTTACAGACATGGCCAATTGCATGTGGTTTTATGTGGGCTCTGAGATCAAACGCAAACCGTCAGGATGATGAAGCTTTTATTCAATGAACCATCTCTCATTCCCTACTTGTTAATTAAAAAAAAAACTTTATTAGTGTGTGTGTGCGTGTGTGTGTGTGTGTGTGTGTGTGTGTGTGTGTGTGTGTGTGTGTGTACACGTATGATACATGTGTAGCTACATGGAGCATGTGGAGGTCAGAGGGCAACTTTGTGAAGGTAATTCTCTCCTTCTTTCTGTGGGTTCCTGGGATCAAACTCGGGTGGCTGGGCCTGAGTGGCAAGTGCCTTTACCTGCTGAGCTCTCTCACTGGTTCTACTGGTTAATTTGTTTTGTTGTTGTTTGTTTTTGTTTTGGCTTTTTGAGACAGGGTTTCTCTGTGGCTTTGGAGGCTGTCCTGGAACTAGCTCTTGTAGACCAGGCTGGTCTCGAACTCACAGAGATCGGCCTGCCTCTGCCTCCCGAGTGCTGAGATCAAAGGTGTGCACCACCACTGCTCGGCTCTACATGTTAATTTTTTTTTAAATATTTTATTTATTATATATACAACATTCTGCTTCCATGTATATCTGCACACCGAAGAGGGCACCAGATCTCATAATGGATGGCTGTGAGCCACCATGTGGTTGCTGGGAATTGAACTCAGGACCTCTGGAAGAGCAGTCGGTGCTCTTAACCTCTGAGCCATCTCTCCAGCCCCTCTACATGTTAATTTTATACAAATAAAATAACTATTGGGTTTGGTGGTCTACAACCAGCAACTTGGGAGGCTAACATAGGAGCATTAAAACCGTAGGCCTGCGTGGACTACCTGGCTCGCTTGAGGCTCGTCTGGGCAACTTTGGAGAGCCTGACTCACATAAATGAATGGCTAAGGATGCTGCACTTGCCTAGAATGCATAAAGCCCTAGGCTCAATCCCTAGTGACCATCCCATGCCATGGAATGAAGCTTTAGTTACTAGTTCAAATCACTGTTTAGCTTACAAGGGTTTAATGAGCTCCAGTCTGAACGAGACACACCATGATGGGCTGTGCTGACAATTCTCCAGGACTGTGTTGGCCTTATTTTGACAGTCTTGTCATGTGACCCAGATCCCCAGACTCCATGAATGCAGGGTGAGGGTGCTCCTCTTGTAATTCAAGCCTCCGAAGGTGGAGAGACGGGGTGGATCCCCAGAAGCTGCTGTCCAGCAAGCTGAGCCCACCAGGGAGCCCTGGGTTTGATGGAGAGATCCTGCCTGGGTGAGCAAGGTGGAAGAGCAATGGAGGATGATTCGAAACATCCACCTCTCCGCGCATGTGCACCCACATACATGTAAACCATGCACGTGTGAGGAAGTGGATAGAGCTGGGCAGTGGTGGCCCACACCTTTAATCCAGCACTGGGGAGGATTCTCCAGAAGTGGAAGGAGAATCTGAGTTTGGGGCCAGCCTGGTCTACAGAGTTTTAGGACAGCCAGGGCTACACAGAAAAACTCTGTCTTGAAAAACCAAATAAACAAATACAGATAAATAATAAAGGTTATAGTTCAGCTGGTAAGGGTGCTTGTCCCCAAGCCTGGTGACCCGAGTTCAAGCTCCAGGACTCATGTGGTGGATGAAGAGAACCAACTCCCTGAAGTCCTTAAAGCACTAATCCAACACAAGAAGAAAAACAATCGGATCAATCCAGAAAGTTGGGCTTCTGCAGAATAACAGACACCTCTTTACAGGCCAGTGTGGAGGAAGTGCTGTTGGCTTTAGTTACTTAGAGGTAGAGAGCCGCAGGGGAAGCTGGTGTGCATCTCAGACGGACAAGTGTTGAGTTGGTCCCCATGGAGATTATCTCTAATAACAGTTCTTCTGGGGAATAGTAGAATTTGTGGTTTTGCTTTTCAAAACTTGGCATGTGTTTTTCCAAGAGACAAAGACAAAGCAATAAATGCTCATCGGATTCCAGATTCGACGATGGAGGGGGGCTGCCAGGAAACCCACAGTATCCATCAGCTGGTCCAGTCAATCGCCTTTGCGCCCAGCCCTCCTCCATTGGTGGATGAGGAAGGTACTCTCTGCTCCAAGCCGCAGATAACTAGATCTGTACATTCACAGCAGGACGTCACCAGGCAGTGGAAGTCCTTGAACTCAGAGATCCACCTGCCTCTCTGCCTCCTAAATGCTATGATCAAAGGTGTATGCCAGCACACATGTATTATTTGTGTACACACACACACACACACACACACACACACACACACACACAGAGAGAGAGAGAGAGAGAGAGAGAGAGAGAGAGAGAGAGACCAAAGAACAACTTTATGGAGTGGGTTTTCTCTTTCCACCTTTACGTGAGTCCCGGCATTGAGCTCTGGTGAACAGGCACCTTTGTTCACAGAGCCATCTAGCTGGCCCTCCACGTTTTGAGACAGGATCTTTCACTGAGTCTAGAGCTCTCTGACTCAGCTACACTGGATAGCCACCTGCCTCCGCCCCCCCCCCCAGGGGCGGGGGTTACAAGATCATGCCACCTCCCCCAGCTAAGACTCTGATCCTGGGGAAAATAAAAGGCAATGTGGAGAATGAAAAGCTGTACTAGGTCGGATGGTGTGGGTTCAAAGCGAAAGCGTTCGGACGGGCATGTCTGGGCAGTTAAGAAATGTAAACATGGACTGAGTCACAGATTACTTAATCAACAGTCTTTGAGACGTGCTGGGTTGCTCTCAGATCATGCTGGAGTATAGAGGAATGAAATATTAAGATACATACAATGTAAATACAAACGAAAACCACAACATACAGAGCCGGGGGATGCTGCCTATGTGGTAAAGGGCCTGCCACATAGACATGAGGACCTGAGTTCAAACCCAGCATGACAAATTAGTTGGGTGTCTGTAATCCCAACACTCCTAGGTTGAAATAAGAGGCAAAGACATGAGACATCCCAGAAGCTCACAGGCCAGCTAGCCTGGCAAGCAAGGAAAAACCATCTCAGGTGGAAGGCAGAGACCTGAGGTTGACCTCTGACCTCCACATGAGGGCATACATACAAAGAGACTCTAAAAATGTGCTCACACATATAAACATATAGGAAAAAAAACACATGAACATATAGCGATGCAGCAAAACCATACTTTTGAAGATAACCATTAAAGTTTTTTTTTTTTTTTAAGTTTTTCAACCAGGCTGGCCTCAAACTCAGAGATCTGCCTGCCTCTGCCTCCTGAGTGCTGGGATCAAAGGTGTGCACCACCACTGCACTTTTGGCTGTTCTTACAGAGGACTGGGATTCAATTCTCAGCACCTACATGGCAGCTTACAATGGTCTACAGGACTGGATGCATTCTTCTGGCCTCCACAGGAACCAGGCACCCTTGCAGTGCACACATATATGAAGGCAAAACACCCATACACATAACAAAGCAAATGACCAGAAGGAGATTTCTATTACTCAACAATTTACAACCCATTGCAGCAGTCCTTCCTGCCTGGGGGGATGAAGAGTCTGAGATGGCGAAGCATGAGCTTTGCAAACTGCTTTCAACTGGAGGAAAAGCAAAGTAGAAATATCGGCCAGGCTAGGGAGTTGGCCAGATCCCCATCAAAGACTATTTTTATAGACAAGGTCTCACGTAGTCGAGGCTAGTCTTGCACTCCTGCCTGTTTCCCAAGTGCCGGGATTGTAGGCATGTGCCACCACACTATTTTATATATGTGGTACAGGGAATCGAACCCAGGGATTCCTGCATGTAAAAACCAAGTGAACTAGTTCCTTTCTATGCATCTTCCTGAGCTGCCCACCTCAGACTTGGGTGTTTTGAGCTCATGAGGGTACTCCCTGCCAGAGGCTGCAGGGCAGGCCTTTCCAGGTGATCTGGGAGGGCTGGCAGCAGGTAACCCTCTCCCCCACCCCCCAGGTTGCAGAGTGCTGTCAAGGAGAGAAAGGGACGAGTGTGACTTGGTTTTTATTTTAGGGATCTCACAGGCAGGTTGTCAGTCCTTGGATCACAAAACAAAACACCAGCCACAAACTCAGAAGCACCTTCCTCAGCCTCCGTCGGTCCCAGGGAAGCAATGAGACCCTTCCCAGCCAGTCTTCCTCCTTTGACACTCAGCCTTTCCGCTGAGTGGGAAGGAGAGCTGCCAGAGGGCACAAAAGGCAAGCTTTCCCCTGTGGCATCTTGGGCTGGTGAACCTGTTTGGGCCCTAAGAGTGGCCACCGGTGCTACCCAGGGGCTGCTGCTGGGCAGAGATAACAGCAGAGGAAGGGTGGGGTGGCAGAACCCTCCCAAGAGCAGGGCTCTCACATAAACAATGAGCTCCGCCCTGGCCGGAGCAGGAGGTGATTCATCTCCCCCACTGCGTGGATCCTGCTGGCCACACTCACCGGGCACCGAGGGACTGGGGCGGCCTTGGCCAGGTGCCCACACCTTGCTCCTGCCCTGGGCAGGTTGGGAATCACATCCCAGGCCTCTGTTCACTGGCCTGATTTCAAAGGCCTGGGTGTGTATCAGAGGCAGTGTGGGGAGTGCATAACTGCACCCAAGAGAGCAGAGGCCTCTGCTATTGCCTGAGAATTGCTGAGATCCGGTTTCCGGGTCAGGAAAGCAGACACCAGGAAGGGGCATGTGTCCAACTGACTCCTTCAGTGAGCTCCTACCTGCCCACACCACCAGGCATACATTGGGAATGACCATGGTAGCTCCCTGGGCTACCCCTCTGAGCAGCCCCAGTTTCTGTCACACTATTGTTCATCCTGAGCAACAATCTTGACAGAGACAGAGGGGCCTTTGCACTTCACGTTCGCCTGGATACAGCATGGGAGAGGCCAGTGCATCTGACATGCCAGGACCTAAGAGCATAGGACTTTTAATCGGTGTCCATCGCACCCCATTGCCTCTGCTGCAATGTCCTTCTGGCTGGAATGTCTGTCACAGAGGCTCCTTCTGGAAGGCACGCGGGGAGCAGTCACCAGGCTGCACGGTCCTGTCAAGTCCTGGGGTGTACTCTGGTCACTGCTTGGCCTTCTTCACAATGGTGCCCACAGCAGAAATGACGGTGGTCTTGGAGCCGCTGGCACTGGTGGTGACAGTGACCACTGCTGGCAGTGTGGCTGTGGTGGTGAGGATGGTGGGCTGTGCTATTGTCGTCACTGGGATGGCAGAGTCCCACTTGCTCTTTCTCTTTTGGGCATCTACAGGTAACATAAGAGAGAAGTCTAGATCAAAACCAACCAGAGCATGACCCCAAAGACAGCCCTTTCCCGGCAGGCCAGAGGCTTAGGATAGAAACAGGAGTCCCTGGTCCGGGAACTAAGGGGAGCAGGAATCTGGAACCTACCCCAGGACCCAAGACTTGCTGTTGCTCACACTTAGCAGAACAGAGCAGCAGAGCCTGGGCACAGACCCTTTCCAGACAAACCCAGGAACCCATGCTCAATCCGTGTCCCTGAGGTAGTGCTGGGACTGGATAAGCGGCCTCTACCTGCAACAGCTGTGCTGGCAGTAGTGGTGGTGGCAGCCGTGGCATTGGTCGTGGTGCCTTTCTTGGTGCCCGTTACAAACTCAATCTGGAGGGGGAGAGAGGACAGTGAGACCAGTGCAGAGCTGTGTGTCTATTCCTGTGCTATCTGTCGGCTCCCAGGGGACAGAAGTTTGGCACTTACACAGAAGAGGCCCTGAAAACCATCGTGGCTGGAGAAAGGAAAAGTGCCTGAAGGGGCTTTCATCACTTCCAAGGTTTTCCCAACAGATGTGGGATCCCTGTCAGCATCAAAAGTTATTGGACATGCCTGGCCCCCCACCCCCACCCCCTCTCCTCCTCACACCCAGGAAGAAGTGGTGCCTTCCGCACAGGGGAAGGTCAGCTGTGGTCCCCAGGTGCTGCAGACATCCCCACAATAAGCCTGGGGTTTGGCGGGGGAGAGGGAGAGAAAGAAGAGGGATTCACTCAATGGTTAAGAATGGGAAACTTAGTTTATCCCCTTGCACCAGCTCCCACATTCCTGGTCTGCCAACAAAGGCCTCAGAGAGGGCCATCAGCACACCAGGCCTTGCAGTCCCTTAGCCTGGAGGTGAAGGGAGTGTTGTCTTGTGGCCACAGCTGCTGTGAGACACTGAGTCCCAGGGCAGCAGGAGCTGATGTCTTGGTGCACAGCTATCTGTCTTGGGCTCTGACGTGCGGTATAGCACACAGAGGACTCTATTTTCATCTTGGAGTTAATCTGACACTCCTGGAGGACCCAGATCACACTGTGGTGGTGCTTGGTGTCCAAATGACGGCTTGTGTGGCCTTCAGACATGAGGTCCATAGGGAAACACACCAGCTGGCTGCTGAGCTCAGCTCTGTAGGCCAAGAGATGCAGACTGGAGCAGGCCCTGGCCCCATTCTCTCAGAAGGAACACCAACGTCTAGTCAGGCCAGGGAGGCAATGACCCACAAGAGACAAAGCCACCAGGGCTCTGCTGCAATGGAGATAAATAAGAGCAGAATGCAGGGAACACCAAACCAAGCCTTCAAAACAGACCAGTGGAGGCTTCTATAAGCCATGCCAGATGCTGGGACACAGCAGTTGATGGTTGAAGAGGGCGTGGCAATGCTGCTCAAAAGCCCCCATGGGCAATGAAGAGGACGGGCAGAAGGGAGCCAGCAGGACCTGACAGACACTCCACACACCTGCCTCTGCCCCAGCATCTGACACTGCACACACCTGCCTCTGTCTCAGCATCTGACACTCCACACACCTGCCTCTGCCCCAGCATCTGACACTCCACACACCTGCCTCTGCCCCAGCATCTGACACTGCACACTCCTGCCTCTGCCCCAGCATCTGACACTCCACACACCTGCCTCTGTCTCAGCATCTGACACTCCACACACCTGCCTCTGTCTCAGCATCTGACACTCCACACACCTGCCTCTGCCCCAGCATCATTACTTACTTTGGTTCGCTCCTTTTTGGCCTTTTCCAATTTGTCCATTTCAATCTTCTGGGCCTTGGCTGTGGAAAGAAGACACAGGCTATATGAGGCATTTGTGTTCTGAGTGTGATCAAGGGAGGTCTGAGTTTGTGTTCTTTACTCTGGGGCTGTATGGGTTTAGCATCCTGCACCTGGCAGGATAAAGAGCCAGGCCTTGGTCAGCACAGAATGTGGGCCTTGACCAAGGGTCTGGGGGCTGCACATCCTGCTGGGAAGAGTCAGCTGATACCGAGGGAGGTACCTTCCTACTCATCGGGAAACACCAGATATAGAATTTTATTGTAAATAAAAATATTAGTAACTAGCTCAAAGTAAAACTTGTGAGGGACACACATATGAACATGCTCTAATGAGTCAGGGCCTGGCTTATAGGCTTCTGACTTGTGAATGGTGACTTACAGGCTCACTGGCCTCAGAACACATACCGCCACAGAATGCCACCAGGTCCAGGGCATTCTGACTCCCACACATCTCCAAACCTTAGCTCTAACAGTTTCCTCAACAGCCCCCCCCACCTCCACCCCCCAAGTCCTTTGGCCAGGTCAGGCGACTGCTTGCCAAAGGCTCCTGACTGTACCACAATTCTGCTCTCACCAATTGAGTGGCATCAGTGTAGAGATAACTGATCCCACCACCTGTCATCACTATGTTCAAGTCTTGTCAGCAAGGGCAGAGTTAGTCTGCTCAAGGCCAAGTCGGCAGCAGTCCTGTGGACACGGCCTGGCACAGAGATGCTGAAATCTGGGTTGCCTAGTTCACTGACTGGATGGACAGATGGCAGGCTGTAAGGGAGAGGAGACAAACAGAAGTCTAACAGAGGTTACCTAGAGCCTCATAGTAGGAGTCTTCAGACCAGCCATGGGGGTCAAACATATCCTGAAAATAGAAGGAGAAGCTGCAGTTAGTCAGATACCAGAGAGCAGGGCGCCCAGAAACAGACCTGCCTAGGCTGGGGCCCTGGCCCTCTCGAAAGCACAGGGCTTCAGCTGCCACTCAGTCACCAGTCGGATAACCACAAAGCTCTCAGGAATTCAGGGAATGAATATTAGCTAGCTGGTGGCAGCGGCAGCAGTGCCACCCCTGGCTTCTAACTGGTTGGGGCCAGAGACCAAGCCCGCCATGGCGTCTGTGAGACCGCCGGCGGTACTGCTCCATGGACCTGTCTGTGGCTCCCGGTCACACCCAGCCCAGCAAGCTCTATCACTCTCCAGCCCGTGTACAGGACACACCTTTGGATAGTTGGTGCCCAGCTCATCAATGGCACAGAACTGGATCAGTTTTTCATAGATGCTGAAAAGGGAACCAACAATCAGTGAGCAGTGTCTGTATTGGCCCCACATCCCTGTATGGAACCAGAACCGCCAGCTCCTGGACCAAACCTTTAAACCCAGCAGACTTCTTCCAGTGCACTGGGAGGCTGCCTTCTTGTCACTTCTGGCTCTGTACCTCATATAGGCTGTGGCTGGGGCCAGCATGAGGGGTCAAGGCAACAAGGGCACCCTAAGTCTAATGTAGATGTTTCTGGCCTTCACTTAGCACAGCTGGGCCCGGGCTTCCACACTCAGACCCACACAATGCTAGCGTAGCATTTGAACGACTCAGACCCAGACAGAGCCAGGCAGAGGTGCAAGCTTTATTTATAGCACTCGGGAGGCAGAGACAGGCAGATTCTGTGAGTTCAAGGCCAGCCTGGTCTAGAGTGAGACCCCATCTCCAAGACCCCCAAACAACAGACCCAGACATAGCTTTGTCCCTAAAATCTTTTACCAAGAGGCAAAACCAAGTTTTTCAGTTGGAAGACCCTCTAGAGATTATCTTGTTGAATGTCCTCCTTTAGGACCAAGTTGGTGACCAGAACCCAGCAGGCCTCTTAGCCATCACTGCAGAGTGGCTCACACCTTAAGCCTGTATTCTATCTGTAAACCTCGGATGTGTTTAGCAGGCAGCTAGTATAAGTGGAAGTCTGGGTGAAGGCATTTTGGGCTCAGCTGGGACTAAAGCTGGAGCTCTTCCCGACACTCTCCCGGCCCCCATCTCACCTCACAGGCACTCACCTGGGGTTCCGGAACTCCTTCTTCCTTTGGATGATGTAGTTCATATCCATTCCCTCCTTTATCTTGCGCTCATAAAGCTTCTGGATCTTGTCCTGTGAAGGACAGGGACAGAGGGTGAATGTCCCACCATGCACACAGCCTGAGCGGTTTTGCATAGGTAAGACAAGCCCAAATCGGTCAGTTTCTATTGCTGATCTGTCCTCCATGGTGAGTATAGAGTGGGAGAAAGGTCAAGTCTGAAGCCACCCAGAAACCAAGAACCAAACGCACAAGTGGATATCAGCTCCTAACCCTCTCCACCCCCAACCCAGGAGCAGCATAAAGTCCTAAGCATGGATGAGCAACGGTGAACGCTGGATCCAAGCAGCAAAAGTGAGATCTGGGAAAAGCCTCCACCTGGGAGGGAGGGAGGCATGAAGACTTTTTTGGAGTTGGCCTCAAACTGTCTAGATGCCTTTTTAAATTTTATTTTTGGTAGTGCTTAGGATGGAATCACGGCCATACACAGGCCAGGCACATTCTCTGCTGCAGAGTTGTACCTTACAATGTTTTCTGCAAGGTGGCTGAGAGAACTGGCTCACAACACTTAACCGAGGGCCACAATCAAGGGTCAAGAGCCAATCTCTCACCAAGACTCCTCATGGGTGCCTGGCCTAGGAAGGACTGCCAGCGTCCAAAGAGACAAAGACTGTGACAGGGGCTGTGCTGTTGGTTTTGTCAGCTGGACACAAACCTACACACATCTGGAAGAGGGACTCATAACTGAGAAAATACTCCAGTTAAGACCGGCACTTAGGCAGGTCTGTTCTGGGGTTGAAGGTGTTCAGGCACCACCACTGCCCAGCTTAGTTATAGTTTTTACAACCACAGCAATAGGAACCCTTAAAACTGATGGCATCAATGTTGCCTGGTGCCAGTGAAGAGGCCCTGGACACCCAGGGCAGAGACTCCTCTGAGAAGAGGGATCTGAGGCAGGAGCATGGGTCCAATTCAAGGGCTAAGTGCTGCCACCCATCTAGTGGGAGTGACACACACAGATGCCCGAGAAAGAAAAGATTCGGGGAAGACTTTGCCTGTTAGAGGTGGGAAGGGTTACAGGTCCGAGGCAGCTCCCCCAGTATTTTTTAGAAGAGCTGACCACTCCCCAGTCAGAAGGCCAAATCTGAAGTCTTTCTGCAGATAGCATGAGGGAGCCTGGGGTGTGTGAAGCACTTCATTACCAGGGATCGAGCCACCTTCCCTGGTGTAATGTCTGGGCCCTGCAGGGAGCCTGACACAGGAGGCTCAGCAGCCTGAGGAGAGCCCTGCCTTATAGCAGCCTTATTCAGGGCTCCACGGCCATCAGAGGCTCTGCCGTTTCTTTAATGCCATAGTCCCTACCTCCAGGGTAAAAAAAGAAGAAATATTCTGACTTAAGAGCTCTAAGTGGCTAGCTGCTTCTGCCGGGCAGGGCTTTGGGATTATCCTCACAGGCTAGAACTTGTTTGGCATGGAGGGTAACGCCATCCTGGGGGGTGACAGGGAGGGAGGGAGGAGACTTCCGGGAAAGAAGAAAATCTGTGCTGTGCTCTAGCCCTGACACTGGCCTCTCCTGGATGCTGCATTCCTCTGCCCGAGGCCCTATTAGTCATCCATCCTCTTGGGTGGTGCCATGAGCTTGCTGGATAGCTGGGGACACATAGAAGAAGTGGGCTCAAAGGCAGGGCAGGCGGAGGAGGGCTACAATTATGTAGCCCTGGGCACCTGCCCTATTGGGGTTTTTTGTTTGTTTGTTTTTGAAAGGGTTTCTCTGTGTAACACCTCTGGCTGTCCTGGAACTCAGAGATCCCCCTGCCTCTGCCTCCCAAGTGCTGGGACTAAAAAAGGCGTGGGCCACCACCGTCTAGCTCTACCCCCACTGTTGAAAGGTCCCACTCACAGGGTACCTCCAGAGGGACAAAGACAAACAACCATGTGGGTAAAGTTTTAGCTGTACTGAGCCTGTTTTCCCATAGTCAAGCGCTGTTCTCCAGGCATTTAAAACCTCGGGTCAGGTCTTCAGGCAGAAGCAGCATCTTACACTTGTGGGATTTATTTTATGTTTGCATGGGACATCAGTTTCTTGGAGGAGAATTTCCCGAGAAGTGCCCTGGCTCAGAGAGGCTACAGAGAAGACACAGGTTACTCTGTTGAGGTGGACTTAGGAGCTCAGTGGGGGCAGACCAGGGGCCCTAGAGGGCAATGAATAGCAGGTGTGGCAGTGGGTGCCGATTCCTGAGACCTGGCTTACAGGAAGTATCCAAGATGGCAGGCTCCTGCCCACCTGGCAGTTTGCTTGGTCCCTCTCCCTGTCATGGCCTCTGAAGGTCATGGTCCAACCAGACAATGTAACCCGGGCCACCTCATCCACATGGGCAGCCAGACCCTAGCTTACTTGTAAGTGATTTGAACATCTGCCAGGTGGTTCTGGTGGGATCTTGATCTCGTCAGGTGACATGTTTCGGACCCTTTCAGAAAAGGAGGCTGTTGAGAAAACAGAAGGGGAATTCTGGGGTTGGGAGGAAAGGCCAAGGGCTATCATGGTACAGCACAGAGCAACTCCAGAGAGGGAGGCGTGCCGTGGAAACACCTGAGGTGGCATCGAATGGTCAGAAGCCTGCCACGTGTCACCCTGGGAGAAGGGGTCCAGGTAGAGGGGGCAGATGTAAGTAGCACATGCTATGAAGTCCCAGGAGTAGTTTTTAAGCAGAGAGCGAGCCAGCGGGCGGGCAGTGAAGCGCTGAGGGTGAGAAAGGGAGGGGCTGCAATCCAAGGCATGCGCTCGTTTCTACAGAGTAGATTCTCCCGGCCAAGCTGAATCAAGCTGCCAGTGTGGAGGACACTGAAGCCAGGTCCAGCCTCCACAGGCCTCTGGGAGTTGGAGCTGCTTGGCACTACCCTGGTCTGGGGCTGCCCTGCCTCGATTACGAGAAACTGTGGTCAGGGTTCCCAGTGTTTTGGGTCCCAAACAGTGTGTGCATTAAAAAGACCTGAAGGAAAGAAAGGCCTGACTGACATAGAGAACCACGGCTCCCAAGGGCAGTTTCCTCAGAGAACGGCCACTGCCCTCCCCAGCCTTGCCTCTTCTCCTCCTTCCCTTCCCTGCAGCCCGTGGCCACACCAGGGCCTCAGAGTCCTGCTCTGCAGCACACAGACAATGGGCTGTTTGTTGTCAGGCTCTTTAACATTCACCCATGAAAGGACCACACAACCAACAGACAGCATAGGTGGGCAGGAGGAGGGGAACACCAAAAACCCACCACCAACAACATGCTGCAAATACTTGCTGGGGACCTACTGTGTGCCAGGCCCCTCCCTAAGCCCTTTCTAGGAGCAGCTCTGTGGGGTTGGTGAGTGTCTGGGTGGCAGTCTTCTTCCTGGTTTCTCCTCCAAGGTTTGATTTAGTTTCTCTTTTAAGATTTTACCTTTTTTTTTTTTTTTTTTTTTTTTTGTTTGAGACAGGGTTTCTCTGTGTAATTCTGGAGCCTGTCCTGGCACTTGCTCTGTAGATCAGGCGGGCCTCGACCTCAGAGATTCACCTGCCTTTGCCTCCCAAGTGCTGGGATTAAAGGTGTGCGCTACTAACGCCCGGCAAGATATTACTTTTTAAATATTACATGTATGCCTGTTATGTCTCTGTGTGTTGTTCTTTGCATGTGTGAGTGCAAGTGCCCTCAGGGTCTAGAAAAGGCATCAGATCCTGGGAGGTAGAATATGGGGTTATGAGCCCCTGGACATGGGTGTTGGGACCCAAACTCAGGCTCTGTCTAAGCAGAATGGGTTAGCTGCTGAGCCTTCTCTCTAGTCATTATTTTAAAATAATCCCAGATCTCAAGAGATTAAAAAAATAAAATTAGGGTGTGTGTGTGTGTGTGTGTGTGTGGCACTCATTCAGGGGCCCAGGCTGGTACCGTTCTGGGGCTTCAGAGACTCTTCTGCTTCAGCCTTTTGATTAGCAGGGATTGCCAGCGTGCACCACTGCAGCCAGCGTAGTTAATATTTTCTCCTTTGCTGATGAGGTGCTTTGATCTCTCCTCAGCTTGCCATCACTGTGACTATTGTGGTGCTGAGTAAGACAGGGCACAAGACCTCCGAGATGCAGACACTAACGACTTTGCTAGTTCAGCCACTGTGGTTCCGAGACTGTGCACACTGCAAACACACCGTGGCCAGGGGTCAGGCCCAAGGCAGTCTTAGCACACAAGTACAGTGCTGGTGTCAGCACCAGCAATGGGTTGTAACTAGACACACCCTCAGCACAGGCTGGCCACACAGACCAAAGGTCCTGCTGTGGGGTGAGATTCGGTAGCAGTCCAGCCCAAGAAGAGTCTCTAAAGGGACAGTGCCCTAGTCCACACTTGTCACTGTACTGAACCTTCCTGCCATCTCCTGACTGGCCCTCAAGCAGGATGCCACCCAGCTCTGGCAGGCATTCCAGCCGAATCTTGATTTCTTCCTTCTTCTCAGTCCTGGGATAAGCAGCAGTTCCAGGTCTGAGCTCGGACTACAGGACTAGTCGAGAGTGGGAACGGATGAGAAGAGTTGGCCATGGCATTTTGTGTGCATCAGTAACAGAAGCAAGGCGGCCTTGGCAGGCGCTAGGGCTGGAGAGGGTATATGTGCACGTGACAGAGACAAAGAGTGGCCTTTGGCATTTGCCAGGAAAGCTTTTTAGAAAAACAGGGTGTGACACTGTTACCATAGCAACCCCACACCCTCTGAAGCATAATCAGTAGACAGGAGAACAGGAGAAGGAACCCATTAAGTGCAGGGTAGAAGCAAGGGTATTCCTGGGAAGTAAATGACAATAAAGTGACATATTCTGGACAACAAAATAAAAGTTTACCGCACAGACTTTAAGATAGACTTCAGTGACTCTTTTCTAGGAAGAATCTGATAAAGAAGATAGCTGCTCTATGGGTCTCAGATTAGCCAGAGCCCCAAACCACTACTTCCTTAGGGAATCTGCTAAGCAATGTGTCCATAGACACTCAAGGCCAGTGCCCCTGCCCGTAGCTGCTGCTGGCTTGGCTATGCCAGGGGTGGCTGTAAGGGTGGCTGCGCTTAATATCAGAGAAGCTTACTGCCAGTATGAGTCATGCCCTGTGAATGTCTTTGCTAGAAACATCTGCAGTATCCATGGCCACCAGGTAGGGTCTGAGCAGAATGGCTAGTCCCAGGGACTCAGGATATGGCAGGGAGGAAGCAGGGTAAGCAAGCCCAGAGGGGCTAAGGACCCTTGCGGGACACTTGATGGGCAGTAAGCTCCTGAGTGACTTGGAGCCTGTCCCCTAGCTGACTTGTTTCTGGTCCCCTGGAACCAGCACTGTTCCAGGTCAGGCCCCAGCTGTCAGGAGCTGAAGTGCTGGAGAGGCTCCCCAGTTGGCTTCTTGGCTCTGCTTGTTCTTTTAGAGGTGGGACGGTCTACACATCCAACACCTGGGACTCAGTTAAAAGGAACTGAGTTCAGACCCAGGGGGCAGGTAAACACCGCTATCAGAAGCTACTCTGCTGAAGAGGAGCCCACTCATCTCCCCCTCAAAGAGAAAGAGTACTAACTACACCTATGCAGATGAAAGATGTACTGTGCCCCCCACAAGAGAGAGAATGAGCAGACTATGCCTGCTACAGTGAGAGGAGCTTAGCCAACCAGACGCATGAAAAGGAATGGCTCTGCTCGGCAGTGTGGATGCAATCTCTAAAGCACTGTGTCAACACAGAAAGCCAGATAGGACGCACTCGGCCTGTAGTGATTCTGCTCCTCCAAGAGACACTTGCCTGATATTTCAGTGGAGGAAGGAGAAAGAATAATGTGCTTGCTGCCCAGTGAGCAGGAAGTGATTCTTCTGTTAATCATCCTATCACATATAGGCTGGCCTCATAGCATAATGATCCGGCCACAGTGTCAATGGGCCCTCATTTATATGAAATTGTTAAAACAGGGCTGAACTCCGACTAAGACTACTACCTTCAGGGCTGGAGAGATGGCTCAGAGGTTAAGAGTACTGACTGCTCTCCCAGAGGTCCTGAGTTCAATTCCCAGCAACCAAATGGTGGCTCACAAACATCTCTAGCAGGATCTGGCCTGCAGGTATACATGCAGACAGAACACTGTATACATAGTAAATAAATCTTAAAATAAAATAAAAAAAAGACTACTACTAATTTTTTTTTTTTTTTTTTTTTTTTTGGTTTTTCAAGACAGGGTTTCTCTGTGTAGCTTTGGAGCCTATCCTGGCACTTGCTCTGGAGACCAGGATGGCCTCGAACTCACAAAGAACCACCTGCCTCTGCCCCCCGAGTGCTGGGATTAAAAGCATGTGCCACCAACACCCAGCTAAGACTACTTTTTAAAAAATGTATTTAACCTTATTTTATGTGCTTTGGCATCAGAGCCCCTGGAACTGGAGGTACAGACAGTTGTAAGCTGCCTTTTGGGTGATGGGAATTGAACCCAGGTCCTCTGCTCAGGGGAGTTAACACCAGGGACCATTGAGAATGGTGGAGTTGATTGCCTTGTAACTGATGGTTGGTAGGGCTAGCACAGCTACGTGTCTATCAAAATCCACCAATGCACACTTAAACTCACAACTCTTACTCTATGAACTGTGCCTCAATAAAGCTATTTCAAACACATGGCACAGAGGCTGAGTGTGGTGACATTTCCTGTAATACGAGATCGTGGGAGGCTAAGGCAGAGAGCCAGCCAGTTTAAAGCTAGCCTGGGTCACATAGTTGTTGAGACCAGTTTGTGCTATCTACATGAAAGTCCAAGCAAAACCAGACAAGAGCCCCGCTGTTGTGGAAGAAGCCCAGCTGATGCCCCACACATGCCGCCACTTCTCTGATGCTGCCCAGATGAGTGGTTCATGGCCAGGTGGCTCTCTCGACCCCAAGCCTTTAAGTTTCTTAGTAGTGAAGAACAGAGAGAAGGATGAGGCTGTAACTCCCACTACACCTGGCCTTGAAGGCCCTGCCTGCTCTGCCCCTGAAGCTGTCACATCCCGAGTGTCATTTTCTAAAGAACAAATTCTAAGGTTTACGAGAACCCTGGTTCCTATTTACATAGATGCTCTTGAGTGTGTCTGAGTGTGTGTATGGACATCACAGGCACACAAGGACTGCTGAACGCAGAGTAGGGCAGTGGACTCCCTGAACCTGGAGTCATGGGAGCTTGTGAACCACCCGAAATGGATGCTGGGAAATGAACGTGGGTCACAGCTCTGTAAGTGCTCCTAACCACTGAGCCATCTCTCCAGACTCTGACTTTTTTAAACTCTGTCTATCAGAGAATCCAGGGATTGAGGCTGAGTAATTACGTTCTTGCCCAATGGCTCAGAAGACAAACAGAATGATTAATTCCTAGTTGTGGAAACCCAGTCACTCGTCAACAACCCACAACAAATGGGTACTTCTTGGAAAAGGGCAGGTGGGTGGAACCCTGGAGGAGACTTTCAAGCCAAGTTTCTGAGCTGTGAACCCCAGGGCTGGAAAGCACAAGCCCTGAACACAGTGGAGATGAAGAGTGGGCTCTGCAGGTGTCCTTTGAGGACAGTACCAAAGAAAGCAGGAGCACATTTTTTCTAAAAAGATTAGTATAGCGGCCAGGGAGCAGGTGATGTTTGGTGCAGAGGAAAGGCTCTGACAGGACACCAGGAACCTCCCCCGGTCAGGTTTTTGGAGCCATTACCAAGTCCATGGCCAAACTAAGGAGTGGAGTGGCTTTCTAAAAGGTTTAGGATGCCAGGGCTAGCAGAGGGCATGGAGGGAATATGGTTTCCCACAAGCTATTCATTCTACTCTCCAAAGAAGTCTCCAAGGGCCGCACATGCCAAGGCTGTGAGCCATATTCCTGCGTGGGACAAGGAAAAGTGCCTGGAGAGGCCCCATGCTGACTCCCTGAGCAACGTGAATCTGGTAGTGGGGACAAGGGGTGCAAAGACAGAGAGGTCAGGTCCAGGGCACAGCGGGAGAAATAAAGACCATGATGAACAACCAGCTGTATGGGACTCTGAACTCCCTTGACAACACTGGCAATCAACCAAAGCCCAGAAAAACGCACACAGAATGCTATTTTCAAAGAGTGTTGCCTGGAGGTCTCACCCAGTCACCCTAGGAAATGCCAAAGGCCTGGAGAGCAAGTTTGGAGGGAAACTGCTCACAGTGGAGATGCCCAGAAGCGAAGAGGCCTGGCACGAGTGGAATCCAGCCTGCTGGGGCAAGGGCTCGGAGGGTGCATGCCCCAGGATACTCACCCACTAATTCCTGGGGATCCCGCTTCTCTGCTTCTGTATTATCCTGTGGAGAGAAAGAAACACAAAGGTAGGTTGGGCTCCGGATGGAAGCTGTAGGGTGAGTGCTGCCAGCACGCTAACAGTGAGCAGGGCGTCAAGCCTCCTCGGACCCCAGAATTCTGACCACTTCTTCCCCATCACGGCAGCTGGGAGCTCCATGGCCCCCAAGAGGGACCGGCACTGCCATGTTGTTGAGAGCCCACAGCAGTGACCATGTCCCTGCCAATGGGCTCCCCCTGGACTGGGAGAGCTTATCCAAACACACCACTAAGCAAGGCTACAAGGGAACCCTCTGTGCCACCTAACCCCCAAGACTGGTTGCTCCGGGGAGTTTTCTCATCCCAATGCATACAAACAGGACGGACGGTCATAAGCATTAAGGGGCAGCTCAAAGAAACCCCTTAGCGACTAAGTGAGGTTCCCAAAAGCTCCTGGCTCGAGGTCTCTGGCTCTCCCTGACCCTCATCTCTCTGTCCAAAGAAATATATTGAAAACAGATGTCTGCTCTCACAGCTTCACCTAACCAAACCAAGACTGAGAAGGTGACAGCTAGGCTACAGTCTTGTGGCACAGCAGAAAGGCCTCTGCTGACTCAAATGTCCTTGAACTCAGTAAGATCAGGGATCTTCAATGCTACAAGGATAGTGATCAAAAAAACCCAAAATACAAAAAACGGCAGAGGAGTTCATTGAAGCTGCCAGATCTGATTTCCTTCCCTTGCTTGGTGACAGAGGAGATAAGACAGCAATAGTTCTACAACAGGATCTTCACATGAGAGCAGCTGCAGAGCTTGGCCCTGGCACCAAGGAAGGACGGGGATGTGAAGTGTCTCCTTCTAAGTCAGGCATGGCCCCGTGACAAGATCAGACCCCCTTCTCTCTGATTCTCAGACAGACCTCCCAGTACCCTCTTTTCTGAACACTGCAACTGTTTACTCAAACTGCAAGGGCACAATGTTGCTGCTTGGCAACCTGTCGTTCTCATCATCGGCCTCCCAACAATCAGGTGGGCAGAGAGGCTGTGAGGCAGGCCTGGAGGACTGCCGCATCAAGGTCAGGCTGGAGTCACAAATCAACGCTGTTCAGACAGTGCCAGTGTGAGGGACCAACAACAACTTCTTTGTAGCAGCACTGGGAGAACTCAATATCCAGGAGCATTTCAGTGACCAGGCGTGGGACTAAAATTGCCTTGTGTTTTTCCACTAGGAGACAACTTCCTGGGTGCTGACTGTATCCCGCCTCCCCCTGCAGAAGCATAGGGCCACATGGGGGCAGCCTATGGCGGCTCCGGAGAGCTGTCAGAGCAGACTGGGAGTCACTACAATTCTAATACAGTGTCTATCCCAGAGTGACAGGAAGTAGATCACTTCTCTTTTAAGGGTCTGGCTGTCCTAGCTGAGGTTGTTTAGTCCTGTCTCTGGGATAAAAAGGAAAACCACAGGCAGGAACAGAGTCTTCCCTCTCTTGGTGCTAGAATCTGTGGCGTGGCTCCTCCTTAGCCTTTCTAAGTTCATCTTTCTAACCAGTGAGGGCTCGGAGTCACTGCATCACCCGTGCTTCAGTGGAGGAAAGCTAAGTGGGAAGGGGACCAGTGACGATGGGGACCTAAAGCTCAGTGGCAGAGCAGTTGCCCAGCATACACAAATCCAGGCTTAATCCCCAGCACTGCAAAGACAAGCAAGTAACCAACCCCAGATTATCCCTGAGCTAAGTTTCATACGACCACTCCTATGGCACAGTGCAATAATCCTTAAGAGCCCCAGCCACCGGTGATAGGGTGGGTAGAACTGGGGAGGGCTCCCCAAACAATGATCCAGAGAGACAGCCTTCTACCAGTGTCTCCAGATGCTGAGAGTTCTGTGTGAATCTGAACCCAGCATCTGTGAGCTATGACGGCACTGGCCACAGCACAGTGAGGAAGGCAGGCCGACATCACTAAACTGCAAACAGGGTAAGAAACCTGCCACAAACCCGTTGTAGGATGGACTCATTAATCATAAAAAGGGCCAGAAGGGGAGTCTGAGTATACAGGACACAAGACACCTCTGTTCTCCTTTCCTTCCCCTAAAGCAGTTTCCAAATGCCCCGGGGAAGCCTGTTAGGACTCGCCCAGCTCTCTCTCTCTGGCTTTCAACTCGGGCTGCGGGAGCTATTTACCAGACAGTTGTCCATATCAGCCAGGACCTGGAACCCAGAGCAGAGATAAGAAGGCTCCTCAGCTAGGGGCCTTCTTGTCTGGGAAGATGAAAACAGCACAATGTAGGAAAGGAGAGAAGCTCTGAGGCCAACTTTTTCACCTAGTCCCAATCCAGTGAAGATATAAGGAAAACCCAAACCCAGTTTTCCAAACGAAGCTAAAGGACAAAGGGAGGAAAGAATGACTAGGGCTGACACACTGAGCATGTGCAGGCATGGTAGCACAGTCATGTGATCTCAGCACGCTGGAAGCTGAGGCAGGTGCACTTCAGATGTAGATCAGCTTGGGCTACCTATCAACATCCTTGCTTCAAAACAAAAAACGAGAGTCCAGTGTGGTAGAGCACACCCAGGAGCGTGAGGCAAGCAGGCAGGCTAAACACCGAGACCCAGTCGAGAGGCTCAACAAAGAGTGGAGGCAGAGGCAGAGGCAGGTGGATCTCAGTGAGGTCCAATCCAGTAAGGACTACACAGACGTAGTGAGACCCTGTCTCAAATTCACAAATAGGGAGCTGGAGAGATGGCTCAGAGGTTAAGAGTACTGGCTGCTCTTCCAGAGGTCCTGAGTTCAATTCCCAGCAACCACCTGATGGCTTACAACCATCTGTAATGAGATCTGGTGCCCTCTTCTGGCCTGCAGGCAGACATGCAGATAGGACATCATATACATAATAAATAAATAAATCTTAAAAAAAATACACGAATAGGGGAGTGGAAGGGAGAGGGAAGAAAAGACTGAACACCCAGTCTGACCTGAGGACCCCTCTTCTACCTGTACTCTCCTTCCCCTCCCCCCAGCTTCACCTGAGGCTCATATCTTAACAGTCACAGCTGCAGGGGGCTGGAGAACAATGCTATGAAATTGCCTATTTGCTTCTTTCAATAATTCAGATTGACACTTGCAGACCAGTGTCAGAAGCCTTCTGTCACAGCAATTACAGACCCTGGAATATGGCTGCCATGCAGAAAAATACAGAGGTTCGGTCATGGTCAGTGACCGATGGAGCTGACAGGCAAAGGAAGGAAGGGCCATATAGAGCCGTGGAGCAGGAGAAACTGGCCCTAGGAGCTAAGAAGAGTTACGCAGTGAGGATCAGCAGGTTTTGATGGACCAAATGGAGTTTATGTACAGCTAGCCTCCATCAGCCCTTCTGGGAACCAGCCCCACGAGGCACAAAGTTCCAGTGACAGCCTTGAGTCATAGCACAGAGCCTCGGCATCTGGTTCTGCCAGTTAACACGCCATGCTTTCTTCCCAGCCTTGGTAGTGCTAGGCATAGGGAAGGCACCCTGAGCAGGGCACAGGGCAAGCATACTACACACCGCCAGTTCCTGCTGGATAGTGTAACCTGGCAGCTGAGGAGAAAGACTGAAGTAGCATCTACCCACCTTATCCTCTACGACACAACAGCCCTTGACGTTATAAAGTCCCAACATACTATCTTATTTATTGTGCAGAGTTTACTGAAAACAACCAAAAAGGACCACCCCACCCCCACGCCACCCGCCCACCCCACACCACCTGAGACAGCACTTCTCTGTATAGCTTTGGAGCCTGGTTCTATAGACCAGGGTGGTCTCGAACTCACAAAGACGTACCTGCCTCTGCCTCCTGAGTGCTGGGATTAAAGGTGTTCAAAAAAGAAATTCTTAAAGCCAGGTGTGGTGGCTCACACCTGTAATCTCAGCACTGAAGAGGTAGAGGCAGCTAGATTGCTTAGTTCAAGGCTAGTCCCTCCCCAAGTCTTCACCATAGCCCCCAGACCTACCAAACGTTTCAGCTTTCTCTCGCCCCTCTCTCCAGGCAGCCTGCCCTTTGCTCTCCCTGACCTAGAAGATACACACCTAAGCACACCTCAGATCTCAGCCTTCGAAAGCTTCCTGTGCCGCCTGACCAGTGAGCTCCTTCCTCCCCACACTGAATTCTCAATGCCTGGCCACCACAGGTGTGTGATCAGCACGGACACTTGCCACTGTTTTCTTTAGGTTAGAGCAGGGTTTCACAGCTACCTTCAGCTGCCATGGGATAACCCTAGGCTCCAAGCATGTTTAGCAACAGTTACCTCTGATGTGTGGGTTCACTAAAACACCACAGAGGCAGGAGAGTGCTTACAAGGGGGCCAAGCTTTCAATGAGGCCCATGTAGGACTGGGAGAGGGACCAAAGCAGAATTGAAAACCTCACATGTCTTGTTCCACACTCTTTCTGCCTGTCTGGGACAGGGTCTTGCGATGTAGCCCAGAACCACCATACCGGGCCCTGCAGTGTCTTTCTTAACATTCACCCAAATGCTCTTAAACCCTGAGACAAAGAGGGGAAAAGACACAATTAAGCTGGGTGTGGTGGCACTTGACAGGAGTCCCACCTACACATAGAGGCTGGTCACTTCACTTGCTTAGGAGTCAGGCCAGTCTAGGCAACTAGCAAAATCCTGCCTCAAGACAAACAAATAAAGACCAAATCCACAGACAACAAAAGACAACTGCTGGATAGTTAGCTCACTTAGGTATTCCACGAATAACTTGCTGAAGATTTATTATGTCACAGACAATGGGCCAAGCAGTAAGGCTAAAATAAGAAAATGTAATCCCAGGGAACAATTTTAGGTTTTATGTTAAGCCCTTTAACTAATGATCTCATTTAATTTGCAAAATAGCCCAGCAAAGCATGTTGTGAACCACTAGGCCACATGGCTACTTCAGGAATGGTACACTACGCCAGGAGCCTTCCTGGGGGCATCAGAATGGCCACCAACAGGGCTCTCTCTGTCTGGAGAGTGGGGGGCAAGATGGCCAGGAATTCAAGGCCAA